CAGAAGAAAAAAAAAAAAAAAAATGCCGCAGGATGCGCCCAGCAGCCGCACAAAAAACACACGCGCCCATCAACAAGAACAAAAAGAAAGAAAAAAATATATATAGCGGGAACATGCATACAGGATGAGAAGAACAAAATATATATATATATATATACATACATGCAATACATACATGTACATACATACGCGCACACACACGAATGCGTTTCCAGGAATGAGACGACGAGTCGTCACTTCCTTCCTTCTTTTCTCTCTCTCTCTCTCTCTGCCCGTTGAGTTCCCACCGCAAGTGCATATTTGCCCATCGGCGTTATAAGAGCACAAGCGGCTCGGCGCCTCCCTCCTCCTCCCGGGAGCACACACCGGTGAGATGCACAAGCGACTGGCAGGTGGAGGTGCGGGGCTGAACGGCGATTGAGAACACACCAGCCGAGCCCAACAAACAAGAAAAGCAGAGGAGGAAAGGGGGGAGAGAGTAGGGGAAGAGAAAAAAATAAATAAATAAACAAAAAATAGGAAATAATAATAATAATAATAATAATGGGCAAAAACCAACACACACGTGTGTGTTGTGTGTTGTGTGTGTGTGCAAAGAGAAAGAGACAAAATAAGGGGAGAAATCCTCCCGCCTGTGTACGTCCTCGCTCTTCTATGGCCACCACTACCAGCACGCCTGCGATTGCCTCCATCCCTTTTTCTTTTCTTTTTGGCTGGGGGCCTATTATTATTATTATTATTATTATTATTATTATTGGTTTCTTGCCTGCACCCCGCTCCGCAGTGATGGGAAAAAAGGATAGGTGGGCAGGGAGGGGGAGAAGACACACACACACACACACACATCGTCACACACACGCAGCAGCAGCCAACACACATCCATACATCTCCTTGAAAGAGGCCGGATAACAATAACAAACAGCAATAATAACAAATAATAAAATAACAAAATAAATAAGCGACGGGTGATGTTTCGATCAGGCTGCCTCACTTCCTTTCGTTTCACCCCCCACCCACCCACCCACCCCTCCAACTCTCTGCAGGAAAAAAGCCGCGTATGTACATGGAAGGTTTTTGCAAAAAAAAAAATGTATAACCGCAGCAGGAATAAATAAATAAATAAATAAATAAATAAATAAATAAATAAAGGGCGTGGATACAGACGGATCAAAGCAAAAATAAATACATACAAGTATATGTATATATATATACAGATATATATATATACATGTGTACTCACACGCACACAAGAAGAGAGAGAGAGACAGAAATAATTAAAACAACAGTCAAACAAACAAATCACAAAAAAAAAAAAAAAACACGCACACATACACAAATACATACACACAAGAACAAATATTGATGTAGGCGCAACATAATGAAATAAACGGCAAGTACAAATATTCCGCTCCCCCTTTACCCCCTCCCTTTTTTTTTTTTGTTTGTTTTTTTCCTTTCTTTCTGCCTCTTTGCATATATACATATATATACGTGTGTGTATATATATAGGTGTATATATATGTGGGTGGATTTATTTTCATTTATATCCCCCCTCTCCCTCCATGTATTTATTTACCCTGTTGCCCATTCCTCCTGTTCCTCCCTGTTCCAATGTTGCAACTTACAAAATAAAGATGGATAGATAGATAAATAGGTAGGTAGGTAGGTAGGGGGAGGGTAAAGAGAAGTGCAGGCAAAGAAGGGAGGAAGTAATGATATATTAATTCATACATACATATATATTTATTTATATTACATTTATGTAAATATAAATATATATGTATGTATTTTACGTGTGTGTATCTATGCATGTCTCAATACTATTTCCCTCCTCCCAGTAATCCTCACGTATACATATGACTCCCCCCTCCCCCTTCAATCACCATTACTCGTCCATACACCAACTTCATAGTACACGCCAACGGAAAACAAGAACAAAAACAGAAAAACAAGAACAGAACGGGGAAAGAAAGAAAAAAAAAAAAAAGTCCCATTCCATAAACGCAGCGTGAATGAAAAGAATAATAATAATAATAATCATAGTAATGACAATAAATGAAGAGCAGGTGGAACATACATTCCTTTCCCCCCCCCCCCCCCCCTCTCTCCTCCCCTCCCTATATATATATATATATATTATAATAGTAATAGAAGAAAGGGGGAAAAAAAGCCCAAGAGAAGGGGAGAAGTACGGAAACAAACATAAATGAAGCAAAACAAAAGTTGTGGTCCAACTCACTCACTCACTCACTCACTCACTCACACATCCAGCAGAAACACATGCATACAAAATGGAAGAAGAACAGAGCCCACCGAAAAGAAAAGAAAAGAAAAGAAGTATGATTTTGTTTGGAATATTCACCTGCGTGAAAGGGGGTGGGAAAAAGAAAATGAAAAAAAAAAAAAAGAGTGCATATTCCTCCATAAAGAGAATGAAAGAAAGAAAGAAAGAAAGTGACATGCATCGGCGCCTTGTCTTTGCTTACATTTCACGGCATTCCCCCAATTCCATTCGCGGTAAAAATAAAAATAAAAAAAAGGGGAGGAATTAAAAGGAGGAGGAGGAGTGGGGGCGGGGCAACGAGTACTCGTCGCCTTCCTTCCACTTCTCTCTCTCTCTGTTTACATGTCCCTCTCTGTCTGTCTCTGCGCATGGCCCCCCTTCAGTCTCCTCCTCTCCTGCTCCTCCTCCCTTGCGGCAGCCGGGCAAAAAAAAAAAAAAAAAAAAAAACAGCAGCCACGACGACGACGACGAGCATAAAAAAAAATAAAATAAAAAATAAAAGAAGGAAAAAAAAAAAAAGCCCGTCGGTAAAAACGCAAAAAAGAAAAAAAAACACAAAAACATATAAAAAGAAGAAGAAAAAAAAGAAAAAAAAAGAAAAGTGAGAGAAGACACACGCACTCGCTTTTACATGCGTCGAACATAAGTCCCTGCTGGCAACACTTCACACATGCACGCAGACAAAAGCAAATAATAAGTGGGGGAGAAACAGAAGAGAAAAAAAAAAAAAAAAGGGGAGCCACACAAACAATAACACACACACACACACACACAGTAGGAAAGGAGGAAAAGGAGGAAGGAGAAAAAAACAAAAAAGAAAACAAAAAAAAAAAATTTTCAGCATCTCATAAATCCAAACCGCCTAATTTTTCTACTTCCTTCGCGTGCCTCTCCCACTCTCGCTCTCTACCTGCTGCCGCAGGGCAAAAAAAAAAAGGCAGTTCCAACCAAAGAAATATAAAAATGAAGGCACAGTGCCCCATCCAAATACAGATATGTGTATATTTACACTTATATCCATTTATCCATTCATTTATTTATCCATTTATGAGAAAAACAGCAACAACAAGAAAAAAGCAACCGGAAAAAAAAAAAAAGAAGAAGGCGCCCTTTAGCCGTTCCTCCTACGCGTCCCAACTCATGTGCACCCTTTTTTTCCCACCACCACCACCACCGTTTGTTTTTATTTATTTTTTGTTTGTTTGTTTGTTTGTTGTTGCTTTGAAGTTCTGCGTCCTGAAAAGGAACTGCCTCTCAGAGTGCGCCACCCCCATGTAATCTCTGTCTGCATATCCCCCCCCTTCCCTCCTTTCGTTCTTTCTTTATTTATTACCGTCTCCTTTTCTCTCCCTCTCTCTGGGTGTGGGTGTGTGTGTACATCGTCGTCGGCGTCGGCGTGTTTGTGCGCACAAAATAAACAAATATGAAAACATATAAAATTCCCCCTTTATTCCCCCCATTCCTCATTCCTCCTTCACAGACATTACAAACACACAGGGAGAAGGAGATAGATAGAGAGAGAGAGGGAAAAAGGAGACATGCACGCACACCGTCATTTTTTTTGTGTACGTGCATGTCTGCAAGGCGGGGGGAATCGCTGCGGGTGGCGGTGTTTTTTTTTTTTTTTTTTTTTTTACGGTGATAAAAAAACACGCGGAAAAAAAAAAAGCAATAAAAAAAAACACTTGGCGTCGAAGTAAATACAAAACACAAATATATTTAAACATACACACACACACATATATATATATATATATATATGCATGCATGTACACTCACAGAAAAAGAGAAGAAAAGAAAAAAAAACACGAAGGAGTGCAGTCGTATATGAAATAAACAAAAAAAAAAAAAAATGATATAAATAAGAATAAAATAAAAATAAAAATAAATAGTCATAGTTCTGTATGTATGCATGTATATGTATGTATATGTGGCTGATCCCCACTTTTTCACTGTTCTTTCTTTTAATTCCATGCACTCTTTTTTTTTTTTTTTTCTCCTTTTCCCATTCAATTCATTCATTCCCCAATCCCTTTCGGTTTGTTGGTTGGTTTTCCTTTTTTTTTTTTTCGGTTTATTTGTTTTTGTTTGGTGGTGGTTTTTGTTTTACATAAATGTACTTCTATATATATATACGTGCATCCATATAATATAATATAATATAATATAATATATCCTCGGTAATTTTACCTTCACTCTTCCCTCCCCTTCGGTTTTTTGGTTTGGTTTTTTTGGTTTTTTGGTTACTGGTTTTTGTTGGTTACTTTTCCCAATGGTAGCATGGTGCCTACCGTGGATAACATGTGCCCTTGCCACCTCACTTCTTCGCCTCCGGTTACGTACCACAAACAGACACGTACATGCAACGCACAAATGTCCCCAGTCTCTTCTTTCATCTGCTTTATTTGTTGTTTGTGTGTTTGTGTGTGTGAGTTTTGCTTTTATTTTTCCTTCCCTTATTACTCAGTTTTTTTTTGTTTGCTTGTTTGTTTTTTTCTTTCCGCATCTTGGCTGATTCCACGTACGTGTGGCGACTTCTCTCATTACGCTGTTCTACATTTGTCCGGCGCTTATTCTTGATTAAAGTTTTTCTCTGGTGCAATGCGCTTTGTTTCCTCATTCCCATACCTCGCCCTCAATTTTTTCCCCCTCATCCCCACCCCCTCCTTTCATTCCATTGGAGAGAAAAGAAAGAGTGCGGAAGGGATCGATTCATCTACGGGGAAAAGACGACTGGGGGATACAGCTGCTGTGGGTATCCGCCAGATGCCATCATGGTGGCCGGGAGAACAAATTGCTGCTGCGGGCCGGGTGGCATATTTGTTGAGGGCGGGACCGTGACGTACATCGGCATCCCCATCATGGGCGATGGAACAAATGTGGAGGGAACCGAAAGATAGCCTGGCTGCGTGGAGAAAGAAGTCATTGGATGACCCATCTGCTGATCCATTGGAACGTGGTGGTAAAAAATAGGCTGTGCGCCTGTAGCCACGCTGGCGTTGCTGTTGTTGCTGCCGTTGTGACTGTTGCCGCCCCCAAGGTCACTGTGCGAAACAAGGGTCGGGGTGAGGCTTATCTGCGGCGGCGTGAGGGGCGGGGTCTGGTCTTGGCTAGAGGACGGGGAAATCGAAATGCTGCTCGTGAACGGCAAAGGCACGTCGGCATACCCGTTCGTGAGTTGCATGCTGGAATTCAGGTGGCGGTGCCCTTTTGACGGTGGCCGTGCGCGACTGATGGGTGGATGCGCCGATGACGGGTCGAGCGGGACGGGCGTCGCAGCGGCGTCAGCGAGACGCGCCTGAAGTGTTCGTCCACCCAGCCAATGGCCATGCAAATGCTTGATGCACTTCACAGCGGCCTCCTCCTCGAAAAAGAGGGCGAAGCCGTAGCCTTTCATTGGACGGCACTTGGTGTCAATGCACAGCTTCGACGCCTCAACACGACCAAAGGCCTGACACATCTCCCGGAACTCCGCTGCGCGAAATGTTTCCGGCAGACCGGAGACGTACACGTTGCGTCGCTGAAGCGAATTTCCCGTCTCTTTCACTGAGGGAGCTGCATTGACTGCACTGGAATCCTTTACATGCTGTGTCTCTGGCTGTTGTTGTTGATCCAGCAGCGGCTGCGGGTCCTCCTGGTGTTGGTGTTGCTGCTGCTCCGGTGCCTCTTGGCTCGAAATGCAGGGGGTTTTCACGTCAAAGTCCATTTCGTGCTTTGTTTTTCCTCAACCAAGTAGAATGTATGATGAAGCGAAAAGAAAGAAAAAAAAAAAAAAGCGGATGACTATAAAATCGTTGGGTAAGAAACCGTCCGGTGGATCCGTTTTTCTGCGTGTAAGTAAGCACCTTCTATTGACATTGTGGGTAAAGAAAAGAAAAGGAGATGGCAAAATAAAGAAAAAAGGGAAATCGGTTTATTTCAAAACTACGGCATATCAGAAACGTATGCAAACACACACACACACACACAGAAAAAAAAAAAAAAGGGCCACAAGGGAACACAGACGGAAAGTAAATGTGTGTTTATGTGTGCAAGGGTGGAGTGGAGTGTCCACAGAGGAAGTGGCGTTAAAAATTTCCCTCCCGGTCATTGTGAAAGACCACAAAAAGAAAGTCAAAAACAAAAGAAATAACATAAATAAATGGAAAGAACATACAAGCAAACCCCCAAATTCACTTCATGCATCTAATATATATATTTGTCTTCATCCATGAGGATAACGGCAAGAACAAAAATGCAAGGGGAGGGAAAAAAACAAACACAAATGCGTCATTTCTCCACCGTACCGCCCGCCTCCCCAATAAGACACACACACACACACACACACACACAAAGAGAAAGAGAAAGAGATAAAAATCCTCACAAGAAAAAATACATAAAGTTTTCTTCCTGCATTGCAATTTTTCTTTTATTATTATTTTTTATTATTGTTATTTTTTGTTGTTAATTTTTGCTGTCTTCTCCCATGGAGAGTCGCAGTGAACTTTTCGACCCGACCCCTCTGCTAAGACGTGTGCCGGTGGTAGATCCTGGGTCATTCGGTGTGCCTCCGCCAAGGGGCGTGACATGAGCACCGCGACTCGTGATTTCCAGCTGTTGAAGCAATGACTTCACCTTCTGAGCATCCGCACTCACGTCACGGACAAATGCACTGAGCGCCTCCTTCACACCAGCCAACTCCTTCAGCGTCAGCGCCACTTCCTGGCCGTTCGCCGCTCCACTCCCCGCCGCTGGTGCCCTCTCACGGCCCGGCCGTGTGGCGCATCCCTCCTCGTCCATCCCTGAGACATCTTTCTGTGCACCAGCCGCAGCGTCCTCCTCCCTCCCGCCATTCCCCAGGGAAAGAGAGTCCTCCTCTGGGAAGAAGCCAAGATCACCTCGCCGAATCCTTTCATCAACATACGATTCCTGTCCGGTGAAATCGTTTGGGTCCTTGCGCCGCAGGTAGTGCATAAAGTAGAAATACATCCACATGTTATGCTCATGCACTACATGCGCCCTGAATCCTCCGACATGGGCCCTTTCAAATTTGTCTGCCTCCAGGCCACACACAAAACATGTGCTCTTCATGTCGAGCTCCTTCTCACGTTTGGCGTCACGCAACTCGCCAAAGGTGTCAATGATGAGACCAAACATGATGTTCAGAAAGACGACATTAACAAGAGCAAAGAAAACCAAATCGTAACTGACACGTGGAAAAAGAGTGCTACTCGACCATGACTCCTCCTGCATGATGTCGCCAACACCGCCACCCTGTCGAAGTCCCTGCCAGAGAATGAATAAAAAGCACCGAAAGAGATTGACGCAGTTCCCGTTTTCTGGTCCATCCGAGCTGTCAAACTGCCGCGGAAAAAGAAGGTAGCCAACAATGGCAAAAAGGTACAACACGACAACCCCAAGAAAGGCTGTCAACAGGAGCTGTTTCCCATTCTGCGTAATGGCGTTGATGAAGGTACATAGGGTGGGCACTTTGTAGATAACAAAAAGAAGGTGGGCGGCAGCAAAGTAATGCGACACCAAAAGGGTCAACACCGCCGTGACAACAAGAAAAAGACGAAACTGAATCGTAAAGCGTGTAAGGAAATGATACACCACTTCTCCTTTTGTTAGTCCATCAAAGACCTCCCGCATCGTCGCATTCAGCTTGGCAATTCCCAACCTCATGTGTTCTTTCCGCCTGTACTCCTTGTACAGGCATGCAGGAAAAAACACGACGGCGTCCATGCATAAAGTCACACAGGAAAGCACAAACTGTAGGACGCAAAGACACGTGATGGCGAGTTCTGAAACCTGCACCGTGGCCCAATCCCACTTCGCCCCCTCAACCGAGATGAGTCCAATGTTAATAAGCACTGCGATTAGGATGGAGGCATATTCGTAATAAGAGAGTTGGGAGGAAAAGATAAATGGCGCCATAAAACGATTCCAGCACTTCTTTAACGAGTAGAATCGAACCTTTTTTTCTTCCATCACCCCCTCCGTATCCGTTTCATTCTCCTTCTCTACGGCGGTGTCGGTGGTGGTCAAAGTAAATCGCGTCCACCGCGCCACCCAGCGCTGAAAGTCATGCGCCCTCTCCACCTCAAAGATCAAGTTATCGCTCTGATGTAAAAAATCGCCCAACTTCGTCGCCCGACTTGTGCGATTGACGCTCCAGAGTACATCGTCCTTAATGTTCTGAGAGAGTCCGCGACAAATTGAAGGGATGCAAAAAAAGACCTCCTCAAGCAACCCATCGTCCCGTCGTATCTCAATACGGCCAAGACGCTCCCTAAGCCTCGTGGTGCGACGCAGCAACTCATCAATGTGTTGCAGGTAGAGCCCCTCGGCAAAGGGCCGCACAATGTGAAGAAAGATGAGCCAGTTGAAGAGTGCCGCAACAGTCGGATCATCCTCAAGCGTCTCATCCTCAAGAATACGATCGCACATCTCCGGGCTAGCGATGGAAAGCTGGTGTTCAATGATTTCAATGGGGATCTGTGCAAGAACACGGCGGAAGGTTTCAGGGGAGCGGCATCCTTCAATAAGAGACAAAAGAAATGTGGTGAGAGACACGCGGAGGCAATCAACTGCCTTTCTGGTAAGCTTTAGACCACGTTGCGATACGACACCGTTCATGAAGCTTTCAGTTATCCTTGTACCATTAGTATTAGTAGTATTAGTAGTATTAGTAATGCCCATTTCCGTATTCATATTCCTCGGGTTGTTTTCTGGGGCCGTCCGGGTGCCAATGATTTCCAATTGACTCAACGCGTCAAGAAGACCGCACATCGTCACACACACATCGTAGCTCAGCAGCGCCGTCTGGTTTTCGTGGCATGGACCCTGGCATAACTCCGTTAACAACTCAAAACCCCCACGTATCACATCGACCGTGGCACCGTGCGTCATTCTAGAGAGCTCTGCGAGGAGCAACAGGACCTCATGGACAATGTTTACACTATGCATATTATCGTGCTGGAAACGAATATAATTTTGCATGCCGAGGTTGTGGCCCTCGCAGAAAAGCTGCAGCATGCGGAACAAGGCGTGGAGAAGTCGCAACCGCATGCAGCCTTCTACACGATCCCAACCCAAAATGTGTTTCTTTTTCCCACCATGGCGTTCACTTTTTTTCCGATACGAGGAAGATTTGAGTACCGCAGCAAACAGCGCAGATGTGAAAAGTGTGGAGGTGGAGCCCACCGGGGTCCCACCACACTCCAAAATGACAAGCTGCTGCTGCATGTTAATTTGCCGCACCCATTGCAATGATTTTTGCAGCAACTCGCGAATGTTATGGAAAAATCTTACTTGGTGTGCTCCAAAATCTTTTAAAAGTGCATACTGTGCTCGTGTGTTGCCACCCTCAAGGAGCATCACACTGAGGCGAATGGAACTGTACGTCATCACATCATCGTCCTTCACACTCAGTGATGCAACCACATTTGACATGCCAAGATCCGTGAAGGTAAGCTGCAGAAGATTCCAGGTGTCCTCCCTTTCCGTGCTGTTGTTCCTTGCACCCTCTGCCGCCTGTAATGGCGGGGATTCCTTGACATAGAAACTCGCATACAAAGCATTGTAGAAAAGGTTCAAAAGGCCTACAAGCGCCATGGGGCTAAAGTATCGCTTTCGCATGCCATCCAGTGCACTCCAAACAAAGCCACGAACACCCGACAGAACAGAACTTCGACAGAGCAACGCATTCACCACACTTGCGGCTTCGCCTATTTCCAAGCTATCCTCTATTGGAATCAATACATCGCTCTTAACAAATGTACGAAGGGCACTGCGTGTAGCCTCCACCTCACGACATCTCGATACACCGCTGGAGAGAAATAGTCCCGCAGAAAA